TAAATATTAACATGATTTTGAAAAATAGGTAGTATTAGCGGTACTATTGGAGGTGCTGCCGGAGGCGCACAGGGAGGTATTGGCCAGGCTATTGGTGGTGCCACTCAAGCTGCCAGTACTATCGGTGGAGCGGCTGGTAATCTAATCAATGAGGACATCAAATTCAAGACCGGATTGGCTCAGGGTATGTTCACTGACTCTTTTTAATTTTCAACTACAACTATTTTAATAATTATTTTTAACTACAGGTGCCCTAAATGCGGGCTCAGACATTTTGGCAGCAAAGGGTGCATTCATCGGAAAGTTAGCTAACACTGCTGAGGGAGCTGTTAGTGGAGGTTTAGGTGGTCTTAATAATGCCACCGGTGGTATCGCTGGAGCCGTTGGTAATCTGATCAACGATGACATTAAATTCAAGGCGGGATTGGCTCAGGGTATGTTACTGCTGAGGGAGCTGTTAGTGGAGGTTTAGGTGGTCTTAATAATGCCACCGGTGGTATCGCTGGAGCCGTTGGTAATCTGATCAACGATGACATTAAATTCAAGGCGGGATTGGCTCAGGGTATGTTTCAATTGACCAGCGAATGTGATTAAAAATGTGAGCACACAATGAATATAATGAATAACTTTGAACTACAGATGCCCTGAATGCGGGTTCAGGCATATTAGCAGCAAAGGGTGCATTGATTGGCAAATTAGGCGACGCAGCCCAGGGAGCCGTACAAAAGGGAACTGACGCCGCCATCCAAGGTATCGGTGGTGTCACTGGCGCTGTGGGCGGTCTCATCAACAAAGATATCCAATTCAAGACTAATCTCATTCAAGGTATTTAACACCTTGACAATATTTAAGTAGTACAGTATAGAACATTTTGTACCCAAAGTGCCATATTACAATTTTTGTGCATTAATATTTGTACAATTATATAATGATATACACCGTGTACTAGTCATTTGTCCCATAATTGACTATATCTTTTTAAATTAAATTTACATCAATTCAGGTAATGGTAGGAAAATAAATAGTAGTGGGATTGAAAGCCTATCAAATGTAGTATAATTTAAGATTTTAGATGACCTCTTAATAGGCAATGGTGTAGGAGTAAATTAGGTTTGTTGAACATGTCCGATGATTGACCACAACAATTCAAACTTTTATA